ACTAAGGCTATCAAACAGAGCCTTATAGCATTCCTATTGAAACGAGACTCAACTAATGAATAAAACAAAAAAATCTTTATTCAATAATTACGATCACCACTCCTCGCGATATTTTGATAACTTTAAAAAGAAAAAAAAGAAAGAAGAGACATAATGTATACATGGAATATTGTTAACCAAGAGTATAGCATCTTTTAAAGCATTACAACCAAAAACGTGTGGTAGAAAATCAGTAATTCTAAATTATGGGAAATAGCATGTTTTAGGTTTCAACTAACAAGGATCTAAACAAAATCCCATTTTGTCTGCTTCTTCCAACACTAATTGGCCTACACTTTTTAATTATTGATCTATAAGGATTCGTTTAACAGGATTTTTGATTTTGCTGTTGATTCGTGTAAAAGAACTTACTTAGAAAGTTATATCAGACCAATTTCTTCTAAAAGTACAAAAACTCTTACTGTTATTTCTAAGCATGGTCGAACATATTAATTATAATTAATCTCAATTTTGAATAGGCTACGTTGAGATTATTACAATATGCGACTAAGTTAAATAGTTTTTTGGACAAACTGAAAACGTCGGGTAATAGCTAGAAAGCATCAAGACGACCTGGGAAATGAAAGATCCCATCAAAGTCCAACAATTGAAAACATATGCTTTTATTGTATTCAAGAGTAGTCATAATCCGTACTTGTTCTTTTGTTGTTTTATCAAATGCGCCACAACATAAAATGGTTTGTATATCGACTTTGTTGGAAAATAGATGATAAGTGTCTGATTTTTCTTAAAGCTTTGTAAGATGAATCACTATCACAATCCTGATCATCTGGTAAGTATGTAGTACTGAACGATATAACAAGTAGAAAAGTAATACCTGTGAGGCAAAAGTGTCGATTATGTATTAAGTATGATTACTCAACTTGTATTACAAGGACAATCCGATCGTTGACTCCTCGATAATACATTCAGCTAGATTTATTTTCGTTAGCTTCAAAAGGTTTGTGGATCAATGTTTGAAACTTGTGTCACAAGTGGTAATCACTAGTCTCGAGGCTCATTTCGAGGGGTTTCTAAAAAAATTGACAGTTGATTTTGAGATTAAAAAGTTTTTTGTCTACTTAGAATAATTTATGGAGGAACTCGGTCCAAAGGGACTTCTAAAACAGCTATTCAACATAAAGTGGACACAAAAATCCCATTGAATAGAACCGAGGTTTCTTATCCAAATAGGAGGAAAATACGATATTTTTAAGCATAATCGTAATGACAATATAAGTACCACAACAATCTCATGGTTCTACTTTATTTCGTGATGTGACCATTTTTCTCCAAGTTGACCCAATTGGATCAGAATTGGATCGAACTATTGTACTAGTAAATTTGACGTGCTTTAATGATGGGATTTCAATCCACGAATGTGGCATTATCCCCCCCAAATTCAAAAGAGAGGAAAATCCCATCATTTCATTAATGAAATTAGTCACATTCCGTAAGGAATCTACATGAAGAGAAAAAAATTCAATATTTCATCAATGAAATTGGTTACATTTCGTGGAACGTGCATGAAGCTCCAATAAAATAAAAATTGTTTCCACTGCTAATTAAATTCCTCGTACCACACAAATAACTGTTTCACCCAATAAACCTCATAAAAATTGTGGTATAAATAACTGTTTCACCCGATAAACCTCATAAAGATTGTGGTATAAGCCCCCCGTTTGTTTATCATTTTTCATCCATAAAAATGAGAAATATAACCGTTATCCATCACATCAAGCCATCAATTTTGAATTTCTATCTTTTGTGTGGAGCCCAATAACGACTATATTTTTCGTTCTCATTTTATAATAATGAGAATCAAATGGGGCCCTAAAGCTGCAACAAAACCAAACTAGGATTACGAAAACAAAGAAAGGACGCTCAAATACGAAAGTAACAATTCAATTAATTTTCACGACAGTAAAGTCCGGTAATAATTCAAATACTAGGTTGTGAAAATTTATATTCTTAAGTTGTGCGGATCCTTTGTATTTACTTACTATATGTAGTGCATGTCTATTTCTCTTTTCTTAAGGAAATGCCTTATTTGCAATTCTAACAAAATAATGAGAGTTCACCTCAAAACTTCTGGGCTCCACACTATACCATTTGCCATTGATTCACCCCAAATAGACCCTTCAAATCATCCGAAGCACAATTTTCTTTTTTGGCTAAGATTCAACCAAATTCAGATCACGAAATCTTGATTGTAAATGAAATATTTCATTCAATCAGTTTGAATGGAATCTTTCTACCATGAAATATTCCATTCAATCAATTTCTAGACATCAACAAACGTGGCTTCATAAATTTAGGCACGTGAACGCCACATGAAGAATTAACGATGATTAAAAAGTTTTTCTCGTTGGGAATTAATTGTGCAACGGTAATAAAACTTTAAAGAGCAATTGATACTAAAGCAATAGGGATAGAAAACTATTTTTGATTTGTGTTTGAATCTATTTTTGAGGAGAATAGAAATTTTGGAATAGTGATTGATGTGAGAATTTGTGGTGNTTCCTTTACGGAATAAACGTTAAGATACAAAATAATGAGAGTTCACCTCAAAAACTTCTGGGCTCCACACTATACCATTTGCTATTGATTCACCCCAAATAGACCCTTCAAATCATCCGAAGCACAATTTTCTTTTTTGGCTAAGATTCAACCAAATTCAGATCACGAAATCTTGATCGTAAATGAAATATTTCATTCAATTAGTTTGAATGGAATCTTTCTACCATGAAATATTCCATTCAATCAATTTCTAGACATCAACAAACGTCGCTTCATAAATTTAGGCACGTGAACGCCACATGAAGAATTAACGATGATTAAAAAGTTTTTCTCGTTGGGAATTAATTGTGCAACGGTAATAAAGCTTTAAAGAGCAGATTTGTGTGTAATATTATTTTATTTGGAGAATGTGTGGTTGAAATGAAGAACGAGAATGAGAATGAGA